CCAGGAGTTGGAGGTTGCTGTGAGCTGTAATGCCACGGCACTCTACCCAGGGGGACAGCTTGAGGCTCTGTCTCAAAAAAAAAAAAAAAAAAAAGAAAAATCGTTAAGTTGAAGCTTGGCACCTGTTGCTCAGTTGTTACAGCGCCAACCATATACATTGAGGCTAGCAGGTTTGAGCCTGGCCTGGGCTTGAAAAAACAACAGTGACAAGTACAGTTAAAAAAAAAAAAAAAAAGCCAGGTGTTGTGGTGGGCACCTGTAGTCCCAGCTACTTGGGAGGCTGAGGCAAGATATTGCTTAAGCCCAAGAATTTGAGGTTGCTGTGAGCTATGATACCACAGCAGAGGGCGACATAGTAAAACAGACAAAAAAAAAATTTAATAAGGCAATAAGTTGACCATTGTAAGTCAGGGACTGTCCATATATCTTTATTTCAGCCCTGACCCAGAGGATGAAGATATTTTATTTCTGGTACCCTAGACACTACCCTCCAAGTAGTTAGAAACTGACAAGTCTTCTCTCCTTTTCTTGAATATAATATATAGGCCTCCAAGACTGCAGAGAATGCTACCAGTGGGGAAACATTAGAAGAAAATGAAGCTGGGGACTGAGGTGGGTCCCATCTCCCCCCAGCTTGCTGCTCCTGCCTCATCCCCTTCCCACCACACCCCAGGCTCTGTGAAGTGCAGTTCATCTTTTCCACCCAGGACGGCCAGCAGAGCAGGGTCTCCCTGCCCCCATCCCAGTCCCCCAACCCACCCCCCTTCCAACAACAACCAGCTCCAACTGACTCTGGTCTTGGGAGGCAAGGCTTCCCAGCCACCGAGAAGACTACTTTAAATAGAAAAAAAGAAATTGAATAATAAAATCAGGAGTCAAAATCCATCGTCTTTAGGCCCCTCTTTCTAGCCTTTTCTACTATTCTCTGCTTGGTCAAGATTTGTGGCCCTACCACAGAACAGGGAGAAAGCTAAATTAGCCACCACCACTAAACACTCTGCTGCATTTTTTGTTTTTACTACCACTCTGATGTCAGCATTTACCCATCTGTTTGGGCCTTTACCTCTCTTCCCATTCTCCTCAAGTATTTTATCTGGCCTCAAAATTAAGAGGAGCTGTTCTTCATCACACTGTTTTTATTCACATGTGGTAGATTTGTCTTCTGATCCAGGCTGTCTAGGCCCCTCCCATTTTTAGGAGCTGGAGCCTCCATTTATGAAGAGATTCTCAACTATCATATGGATCCTCGTTTGTAAATCATTTTTTTTCCTTCCATTTTCACAAGGCTATAAAGAAGTAATCCATCTCAACTTTGTCTTTTTCTGTGAGGTTGGTGGGGTCTTCCCTCACTCCATCTTACACAAACCTGAGCTGGAAGCTCAACTGTGGTTTTTCCCTGTTTGAAATATTGTGACCTCCCTTGAAACAAAAACCAGGAACCAGAGGAGTAGACTGAAGAAACAACTCCTGGCTTTCTGAAGCTGTGGACTTGAATTGGATTGCTGGGGGTTTGTAAAGAAAGGTGACAAATTTCAGTACCTCTGGCATGCTGTCCCAGGGAACTAAGATTCCCACTAATTTATGAGGTTTTTAAACATTGAAAATGACATGGCATTACAATAAATTTGGATTTGCTCTTAATGTGCTTTTGTATGCTTTTACTTGATGGAGGTGAGGAATGTGTCAATTGAAGTACTCCTGACAGATCAATTCCAACTTTTTGCATGGTGTCATATCCTCTTCCTAAACAACAGATATCTTGGGTTAGGGAAGAGAATCTTGGATTTTTTTGAAGATACAGTAAGTCATCTATGGAAGCTTGGTGATTTAATATTCTGAAGTAGAAACTACCTTCCCTGCTGAAGGCAGTTGCGGTTTGGCTGGGGACATTTGTTCAGGACTAGGATGCTTAATTGTACTGCAAAAAAACACTGCAAGTATTTGATGTTGATTCAGGAAGAATGTCTTGGATGTTACACTAGTTTTCAGGGCCAGGCTGAATGCACTTGCGTGGGTAAGGAGATTTGAGTATCTTATTACATGGTAAACACTCCTAACCTTGAAATACTATAGTAAACAAAACAGCACAGGACAACTATATAATGCTATGCATCTACCATTAAAATATGCAGAACAGTTTCACTGGCCTAAAAATCTGCTCTGCCTATTCACCCCTCCACAGAATGTACAACACCAAGAGTGAGCTCTGGTCTTTGGGTGATACCAGTGTGTCAATGTAGGCTCATCAATTGTCACAAACCTACCACTCTGGTAGGGGAAGTTCATAATGGGGGAGACAATGCCTGTGTGAGGACAAGGCAATGTGGGAAATTTATTCCTCTCAATTTTGCTGTGATCCTAAAACTACTCTAAAAAACCCCACACTTTGGGCGGCGCCTGTTGCTCAGTGAGTAGGGCGCTGGCCCCATATACCAAGGGTGGCGAGTTCAGGGTGGTTGGTTTGAACCTGGCCCCAGCCAAACCGCAACAAAAAGCTAGGTGTTGTGGCGGGTGCCTGTAGTCCCAGCTACTGGGGAGGCTGAGGCAAGAGAATTGCCTGAGCCCAAGAGCTGGAGGTTGCTGTGAGCTGTGTGACACCATGGCACTCTACTGAGGGTAACAAAGTGAGACTTTTTAAACAGTTTCATTTTTTTGCCTTTGGTAGAGTGTGGTGGCATCACAGCTCCCAGCAACCTCAAACTCTTGGACTCAAGTGATTCTGTTGCCTCAGCCTCCCAGGTAGCTACAGATGCCTGCCTATTTTTATATATGAGATCTCACTCTGGCTCAGGCCAGTCTTGAACCAGTGAGCTCAGGAAATCAACCCGCCTTGGGCTCCTAAGTGCTAGGATTATAGGTGTGAGCCACCACATCCAGCCTACTTGAATAATCTTGATAGATGTCATAAAAAACAACTTAGGGTATTTATTTTTGTTTTCAAAAAGTTGTTATAAGGCCTGACAGGGTGGCTCATGCCTGTAATCCTAGCACTCAGGGATGCCAAGGTGGGTGCATTGCCTGAGCTCAGGAGTTTGAAACCAGCCTGAGCCAGAACAAGACCTTATCTTTAAAAATAGCTGAGTGTTGTGGCAGGAGCCTGTAGTCTCAGCTAGTTGGGAGGCTGAGGCAAGAGAATCGCTTAAGCCTAAGAGTTTGAGGTTGCCATGAACTGTGAAGCCATGGAATTCTTTTTGAAGGCAACAAAGAGACTCTATCTCAAAAAAAATAGTTGTTGGCTCGGCTCCCGCCACATACACTAATGTTGGCAGGTTCAAACCCAAGCTGAGCCAGCTAACCAGCAATAACAACTGCAACAAAAAATAGCCGGGCGTTGTGGCAGGTGTCTGTGGTCCCAGTTATTTGGGTGGCTGAGACAAGAGAATCACTTGAGCCCAAGAGTCTGAGGTTGAAGTTGTTATAGCCAGGTACAGTGGCTCATGCCTATAATCCCACCACGTTGGGAGCCTGAGGCAAGAGGATCCCTTGAGGCCAGGAGTCTGGGACCAACCTGGACAACATAGCCCTGTCTCTGCAAAAGGAAAACAAATTGTAATTACCTGTGTGTGGTGTTATGCACCTGCAGTTCCAGCTACTCCACAGTCTTAAGTAGGAGGATTACTTGAGCTCAGAGTTGGAGGTGACCTGTGAACCTACCACTGCACTCCAGCCTGGGCAAAGTGAGACCCTGTCTCAAGAGAAAAACAAAAAACAATGTCATATTCTGGCCAGGTGCACTGGCTCACACCTGTAATCCTAGCACCCTAGGTGGCCAAGTTGGTTGTGTGTGTAGGGGGGGAAGGATCCATTGAACTAAGGAGTTCAAGATCAGCCTGAGCAAAGTTGAAAACTACTACTTTACTAAAAACAGAAAAATTAGCCAGCCCTTGTGGTGGGTACCTGTAGTCCCAGTTACTCAGGAGGCTGAGGTAGGAAGATCATTTGAACCTTAGGACCTTGAAGTTGCTGTGAGGTAGCCTGCCACCATGGCCCTCTAACCTGAGCAAGAGAGTGAGACTCTTGTCTCAAAAGAAAAAAAAAA